TCTTTTTTTTGAATTTCAATTAATTCTATTAAATTATTAGTTTTAGATTCATTAAATTCTATTAAATTATTAATTTTTATTAAATTTGTTAAAATATTAGATTCATATTTTTCTATTTCTATTAAATTTGTTGAAATATTAGTACTACTAATATCAATTAAATTATTAATTTTCATTAAATTTATAGTGCTTTTTGTTAAATTTGCAGGTGTAATAGGTCTATTAGTTTCCATTAAATTTATAGTGCTTTTTGTTAAATTTGTAAATATAATAGGTCTACTAATTTCCATTAAATTTATAGTGCTTTCTGTTAAATTTGTAGGTGTAATAGGTCTACTAATTTCTATTAAATTATCTAATTTGCTACTTCTATTAATTGTAGATATTTGACATCAATAAGAATCTACAATTTTCATATAACAATCAGATCAAATTTAATATAAAAATGGATGATCAGATTCAAACTCTAATTATATAAATAAATAATTTTAATGTTATATAATGAATGATTTTAATATCAAATATGTTATATAACAAATGATTTTACTGTTGTGTAATATACAATTTTACAGTATCATTATTTTTAGATCACACACTCTAAACTTTGTCAAAACCATGCTAAAAATTAGAATCAATGAAATCAGAGTAATATTTTATTTATAATGCTATATATAATTAATGCACACTAACTCCAGAAAATTATCTAAATCAACTAATAACCAATATATATGGTTCTGAATTATTAAAATTAGTTGAGTAGTTTGTGATATTATTTGCATTTTTTTATTCATAACTAGATTATTACAAAATATAAGTCAAAAAGAAACTAGCAAGAATTAGATACATTACAACACATTTGCAAAAAATTTGACTATGAATATGTAAATATAGATCTTACTAAAATAATCAACATTCTTCAAGTTATGATGCGTTATTTTAATAAATTTCTATGTCTAATGAGATGTGTCAGGGTGGGAAGATGGGTTAGACTATAGAAAAATAGTTTAGACTATAGTAAAAATGGGTTAAACTCATTATTAGTACAGCTCAGTAGTCTAAAAAAGCTTTTTCGGGTTTAATATTGATTAATTAATATATAATTTGGTAACCAAAATCCAAATTTGGAGACCACATAATTGGATTTAATAATCAATTGTTTGCTTAATTTCACTAATGTGATGTAATAAAGAGTATTAAAACAATGGATTTGATAACTAAAGGTCCTTTAGCTTATTTATCTATTATAGATATTATAAAAACACTTATCTTGTTTAAAATAATGATAGTTAAATGAGTTAAATGTGAATATAATTGCTATATAGAAAAACCCTTTAAGTATTATATTTAATATAAATTAGTACTATCAAGAGAATTCTGTCATCAGGTTTTCAATTATATTTTGTATTGGATACAATCTGCAATTGATACAAATATAATTGCAAGCATGATGACAAGTTTCTCTAAATGACACTCAAACTGTAATATTTAATAAACACTTATCATAAAGTTCAATACTTACAAGAGTTCAACTTTTTTGCTTGCAGGTTCAACAGGTTCAACATTTTTTTAGGTTCTACAACTTTTTGAGATACTTTCTGTTATTTAGCAGATATATATATATATTATTATCATTACCAAAATCAAAAACCTATTGAATTATCCAAACAATCATTAAATCAATTTTTTTTATCAGATGTTCCAAAAAGAATGAAAACAGCTGTAATAATGAAAAAAACCAAAAGCAAGAAAATTGAAACTTATTTGTAAACTGGTTACAAGTTTTCTTAAGAACCTGAAGCTCAACTTTCAGTGCCATTATCAATGCCATTCTAATGTTTTTGATGAAATACAAACCTGAAAAAAAAGAAGTTAGTAAAACCAAAAAGATAAACAAACCAAAAAAAAAAAGAAACTAGAACTAGTACTTATTATTATATTAGTTACAATCTAAAATCTCAAGTTTGGGCAAAATCTAGAAGAGAAAAAAAAGTTATGAAACTGAAAAAAAAAAAAAAAAAACTAGAAACTGATTATTACTGTCCAAGATCAAATTATTCTGGGTATTGTTTTACATTTTAGTAAAACAAAAAGAAAAAAAAGGTTAATAAAACTAAAATGAAAAAAAACAAAACTAGAAACTGGAACTTATTCATAAACCAGTTCTCTAGGATCTAAGCACAAATGTTTACTGATACTGCTGTACTGTATCTTAATTAAATAATAATAATTTCAATAAAATAGAATATCACTAAACTTCTACTGTTCATTAATTAAAAATCCTATAGTATTTTTATTCATAATAGACTCACTCTTTACAGCATGATGCAATGTGATGCAACTTGATTACTTTGTAAAGGCACTCACCATGAAGTTATTCACTTAGTAAAATATTTACATTAATACTTGTTTTTTTAAAGTTTGTCTATTTGTTAAATTTGTAATTTTACAATACTACACTATATAAATACTGTGTAATTATGATCTGAAATATATCAGATTCGAATGTCTCTCATGCTGCTAGTACTTTATTAAGCTTTTAGAATTACATTTTTAATTACATAAATATCCCTAATATCTAAGTTTAGCATTACTCAGTTACCTTATTGGTACCTAAATGCAACTTGCTGCATTACTTTGAGCAAAAGTAAGTTGCTTGTTTAACTACTTAAAGTCCATAATGAAAGGGTCTTCTTTCTTCTATAACAAGCCTCAACATTGTCTTCATTACTTTCTTCTTAACTTGCTTTCCTTTTTTTCTTATTTCTTTTTTATTTTCTTCTATTTTTTCTTGATTTGCCTTTTCTCATTTTCTTGGTTCCTTTAGCTTTCCACTTTTATTTCTTTTAATTTTATCTGTTATTCCAATTTTTCCCTTCAATTTGATAATTTTTTCATAACATATTCTCCATACTTGTTCATAAAATGTGTCCCAGGCCATTATTGCTACTGCATTTGCAAATTACTGTTTTGATTTTGAATTTAAGAGCTGTGCCAGTTTGTCTTGTGTTTCTTTTAGGATTAGATCTTTTATTAGTGCTTCTTTTATTTTGATTTCTTTTATTTCTGTTTTTTCAAAGTGTGCTATATATAACACATATAGGGGAATTCAGGTTATTTCTTCTTTTTTTAGTTTCTTCCATACTGTTACAATAGTTACTTTTTGAATTCTCTTTTAAAGACTTCTTTGCCTCTTGCACACTGCCAAGTATGCTTGCATTTCTTTTACTTTTTTTGGCATACTTGGCATTCCACTGTTGTGTATATATTTGGTCTTCTTCTGTTGAGTTTTTTCAAAGTTAGAAGCTTATATATTATGCACTTAATAAATGCACTTCTTCTGGAGCTGCTTCTTCTTGTTGTGCAATATATTCCTTTGATTATTTTTAGCCTTTTCCAAAAATAAGTCTAATCGTAAATTATAGTTTTTGTTTCTGGCTTTAAACCTTTAACTACTCTTATTTCTTTCCACTCTGCTCCTATTCTTGCATTTTCTACTAACTTGCATAGCAGTCTGGCTAGTATGTCAGTCTATCTGTTTTCCTACTCTAGGCAGTACTCTATCTCTTTACAACTGACTTTTTTGGCCTATATTATTTTTCTACTTGTCATTTCTTTCTTTGCTAAATTATTGGCCTTATCATTCCATCTATTTTTACTATGACTTTTTACTTTAACTAAATCTATCTGAATGTTTTTCATTTTGATAAGGTCTTTAATCTTCATTATCCATATTGTGTTCTTCTGTTTAATAATTTTGTTTCTGTTTGCTTGTTTTAGACTTCTACTAATATTTCTTATTGCAGAATTATTATCCATATATATCTCAATTTGTTTCTCTTTCAGTATCATTAAGATTGCTACACAAATTGTTACCAATTCTGCTACTATTGATGTTTGCCATCTTTTAAGTCCAAATATTAATTCTTCTTTTAGTCATTCTTGTGTTTCATTTGTTTGAACCCATCCTATACTCATACTGTTCTTAACCGTTAGCTCTTTACCATCTTTTCTATTAGTTGCACCATCAGTGTATATTGTATATTTATTCTTGTTTCTCATAATATTTCTTTTTAGGACTTCTATTATTTTTTGGCTAATATTTTTTTTTAATTTTTGTTATTTAATAATTTCTATCTTTAATTCCTCTATTATTATAAGGTCTCTTAATTTGCATTTACTTATTTTGAATCTGTTTGTTTCTGTCTTGTTTGTTATTTGGTCTACCATTATCTTGATTTGATTGCTGCCCTTACTTATTAATTTATTTAAAATTATATAAATATTTTTACTTAATCTTATACATTGCTGACAACTGTTTTCTATTTGTTTTTCTTTTCTTATACATTCTTCACATCTTTTGATCTTGGTTGCTACTTCATTCTCTTTGCATTTTATTTGCCAATGTTCGATTAAAACTTTTTTCTTTTTCTTTTTAACTACTTTTCTAAGTTGTCTGTGATTTCATGTACTATATACTATCTATTCTTTTCTTCTTTTATCTTCTGATATCTGCTTCTATTTGACTTGTATTGTTTGAGTATTTTGTTCATCAGTTTTAAAGTATCTTTGCACTATTCTACTTTTTGGTCTATTGAGCACTTTTAATTCAATTGCCTTAAACCATTCTGCCTTTTTTCCATTACTTGATTGGCCTTAATAGCTTTTTAGTTGCTGCCATGTGATTAGGTTTTCTTTCTTTGTGTTGAGTAGTTAATTTAAATATATTAGACCAGCTTCATTTCTTTAACTACCCTTTTTTTTCACAATTGTGCATCTACTAGTTCTTGTATTTTGGTACCATGTCTGGGCATTGTCTATAGCTCAGTTTCTGTTCTGATATTTATTTTTAGCTTTTTTGCTTTGAGTATTGTAAAACATGCTAAGTTATTCTTCAAATATGTTCCAGTTTCTGGTCACTCTTTTGTCTTTCATATATCTTTTGTTAAGCCTACTCTTTGACAGCCTTGTGTTATTCTGAGTTTTGTTAATTGTCCAAGACCATCTTGTCTGTTCAGCATTGCTACAAAGCCACTCACTTGCTTTATGGTTAACTCTTGTTGCAATGTTCTACAGCTGCTAAGATCTTTGTGCTTCATTATACAGTTTTCTACTATTCTTTATAGGCTGCTTTTTTTTTCAGCAAACTAATTATTGGTTGGTATATTTCATTTAGGCTTCTGTCTGACAGTTTTGTTAGCTGTAGCATATAGCTTAGTTTAGGTATTATTACTATATTGTTTATATATGCAATCTGACTCATTATCATTTTTTTGTACTTTAAATCTCTTATAGTCTGGCTTACTATCTCTTTTGTCTTCTTCTTTACTTGCACTTCTCACATTTTGTTGTTTAACCATATTTCCAATAAG